TCTTCTATAAAAAATTATATTTCCTCCTTATAAACTAAAGTTTCATCCGATATATCTTCCTTGGATGATAAAGTTTCTTCTCTAGAAAGTAAAGTTTCGTCTGATGTTTCTTCCTTAAAAGAAAAGGTGTCTGCTGAAATGTCTGCTATGGAAATTAAAGTCTCCTGATATATCTTCTATAAAAAATTAAATTTCTTCTGAGAAAATAAAACAGATGGAAAAGAAGATAGAAGAACTGGAACATACAGAACAGGCCAATGACGGTGAAATAAAGTGCCATGAGGTGGAGTCAAAGTTGAAATTGGAAGGAGCTGTAAACTCTGCTCGTCAAATCGCCAGATGGATTGAACGACTTCAAGAGTATGATTTTAAGATTGAACATAGAGCTGGAATAAGCCACAAAAATGCCGATTCTGTTTCTAGAAGATCGTGCCCAGCAGAGTGCTCTCACTGCAACAGAACAGAATCCAAAGAAAGTGGACTAATAAGAACGGCTGTAGTCAACGATGAGAGGGCCCCTGCCAAGCTTAGGGAAGAACAAGAAAACGATCCCGTTTTAAAGAAGATGCGATAAAGAAAAGAGGAAAATCGTAACCTATTTGGTAAGAAGTATCGAAACTCTCTCCAGTAGTTAAATCATATTGAGCTCAGCGGGACTCCTTTATCCTAAAAGGAGTTATTAAAGCGAGTACTAGAGAATGATGATGGTTCCGTAAACAAAAGACAGTTGGTCATTCCAAAGACTAGATTAGCCGAAGTACTTCATCAGTTACACGACAGTACGTCAGGTGTTAAGAAAACCCTTCAGAGAGTTCGTGAAAGGTTTTATTGGATGAACAGTTCCGATGAAGTAAAGGACTGGTGTAAGAAATGTACCACCTATGCTATGAGTAACAGACCCCAATGAAAAAGGAAGGCCCCCATGAAGCAGTACAACGTCGGTGGACCATTTCCGATGACAGAGAATGGTAATAAATACATGATGGTGGTTATGGATTATTTCACGAAGTGGGTGAAAGTCTATGCCATTCCAAATCAAGAGGCCGCAGAAATTTTGAAAGCCAACTTTTCCGAGGAATCTGTGACAGACTAGACATGAAGAAAACCAGAACTAAGTCATTGCACCCATAGCCAGATAGAATGGTAGAGCAAATGAATAAGACCATTGGCAAATACCCGTCAAAAGTAGTTTCCAACCGCCAGCGAGATTGGGATGAATATCTTTCGCTCTTCGCAATGGCATATAGATCCGTTGTCAATGAATCTACAGGCCAAACACAAGCAAGAAGAAGCTATATGATACCCAAGCCACAGAAGGATTTATCAAGGAAGGCGACAAAGTCTAGCTCCATAACCCAAAAAGACAAAAGGGTTATTCTCCGAAGCTTCAAAGGTCTTGGGAAGGTCCGTATCTCATCAAGAAAAAAATTAATGATGTCATTTACCGTATCAGTAAGATCCCGAACGGTAAAGCGAAGGTAGTGCACCAAAAACCGGCTGGCGCCATTTGAGGGTGACCATGACGAGGAAGAAGAAGTAAACCAGCTTTGAAGAATTTATGGGTGCATATGGAGGTACCGGAAAATCAAGATAATATGTTGTTTTTCTGCATTGAATGGGCTAGTTCTTAAGATTCCTACTAGCATGCTCAGAAGGTGAACTGATTTTTGCTTCATAAATGTAAACAATCCTGTTTTGGTTATATATCTAGGATGACAGCGGACGTTTTTTCTTATTTGGACACCCGGCACAATAAATTCTAAACGAAATAAAAACATAAGACCACCACAACATAAACAACAAGTATCCTACTAAAAATCCAAATGATAGCCGCGGGACGATTAATTTGAATCGCATGTTAATTGTATTGCACATTCATCAAACATTTCTAGTCAGGTAAGTATTTCAGGAATATGTCGGAGATACAAGAACAACGAAACAGTACATCGAAACAGTGCCCTAATGGTCGAGAGGTTAAGATAATTATTATTAAATTCTTTATTTAGCTTTGCTAATACAAAAATAGTAGTTTTTACAACAATAAGTATAGTTATACATTATGTATAGTGTCTAAATATGAATAGAAAAAAAAAAACAAATAAATTAGTGTCTAACTATGAATAAAAAAATATAAAATTAAATGTATATCTACAATTAAAATATCTGTATATACAGGGTGTCCCGAAATTAGACGGTCATATTTTAGCAGCATAATCTACATCCTAAAATAGCAGTAAAAGTTTATATAAACATAGGTCCGAAAACGTTTCTTTTCCGAGATACAGGGTGTTAAAAGTGAAGTCCTGATAACACTCTTTTATGAATATTTTCTAAACGTTTAAAGATAACTAAGTGAAATTTGGTACAAATACTTACATTTTTACGCTCTATTTAATGAACTAAACTCCAGTTTTTGATCATCTTCATAGGTGGGTAAATTAGGAGGGGCTTAGGGTAAAATTGCCCTAAGTTTTTTTTTGTTGACAGTTTTTAACATTTTTGACTATAAAATTTGGAAAATCGGAAAATCAATGTTTTTTTTATAATAAAGCTACTTCTGTTGCATCTCGCTAGGACGCACCATCTTCAAGAAAAAAGCATTTGAAAATTTCATGATAAGTTATTCGAAAGTGTAAACAATAATTAGTAGGCCTGTCAAATCAGTAATTTTATTTTTTTTTTTACTTTGGAAAACCGGTGACTAAAGAAATTTTAGAAAATATTCACAAAAATGTGCCATCGGGACTTCACTTGTAACACCCTGTATCTCGAAAACGAAACGTTTTCGGACCTATGTTTATATGAACTTTTATTCCTATTTTAGGATGTAGATTACGCTGTTAAAATATGACCGTCTAATTTACAATTAAAATCTTTTTTTTATTTATACCCTTTGTGTCATCATAATATAGTTTTTAAGTTTATATTTAAAATTATTTAATGAGATAGCATTTTTAATTTCAACTGGTAACTCATTGTAAGCCTGCAGACCCTTGACAAAGACCGAATTTTGGGCACTCATAACATGTCGAATATGAAAATTAGTCCGATTTCTTGTATTATAATTGTGAAATTGAAAATTGTAATCTATTTTTTCAAATAAGTATGAAGGCATCATTTGTAATTGAATTTTAAAAATAAAAATTAATGTTAGATATAGAATGTAATTTTTAACTGACATCCACTCAAGATTATGTAACATTTTTTTGAGTTCTTTTATCACAAGAAAGTATTATCCTCATTGCCCTATTTTGAAGTTTCTGCAACCTGTTTATTTCATTTTGGTTTAGCAAATATAAAATTGTGGCACAATACGTAAAATGGGGCAGAATTAAACTATTATAAAGAAGCTTTAAAGACCATTGGTTAAGATGTTTTGAGCATCTATATAAATAGCTGATTTTAAATGATATTGTTTTAATAACATAATTAGCATGTTCTTTAAATAGTAACATATAGTCAACTATGACACCCAGATATTTAAATTTTTTAACAACTTCAATATTACTATTTTCTATATTTACTTTTAGGTTACTAATATTATATTCTTGATAGTTTTTGTCATTTGCTATAATCATGAACTTAGTTTTATTGTTATTAATTTTTAAAGAATTAAAACAGCACCATTGAAATATTTCTTTTAGTGTGTTATTTATATTTTCAATTATTTCATGTAACTTGTCTGAAGCAAAATAGATCAAAGTGTCATCCGCAAATAAGATAATGTAACACTTTCCTGCGACACGTGCTATATCATCAATGTACAAGAGGAACAATAATGGTCCCAACACACTTCCTTGCGGGACACCTTGTTCATTTTGGATTTCATCTGATGTAATGTTGTTAAACTTTAGCTTCTGTTTTCTGCTATCTAAACAATTTATTAACCACTGTAATGCATCATCAACTATTCCAAAACTTTCTAATTTACTAATAAGTAATGTATGATCTACAGTTTCGAATACTCTTTGTAAATCAAGAAATAGAGCACCAGTAATTAAATTATTATTTTTATTTTGCTTGAAGTGATCTAGGACATATTGTATTGCTGTTTCACAACTATGCTTTCCTCGAAAACCAGACTGTATAATATTAAATAGATTATTTTCTTCTAAGTAATGAATAAGTTGATTATAAACAAATTTTTCTAATACTTTCTCTATTGTACTTAGCATATTAATCGGTCTTAAGTCTGCTGCTCTATTTGAATTTGAGACTTTAGGGATTGGTATGATGACTGAAGTTTTCAAGGCTGCAGGAACTATATTCATTTCTAAGGAGGTGTTTATGATATTAAGCAATGGCAACGCTATGTTTGCAAAATAGTTTTTTAAAAAGGACGCATTTATTTCATCCGAACTTCCTTTATTGGGTAAGTCAAAAATAATTTATCTCATTGTGTCAATGTCAATGAAGTTAAATTTCTTAAAAAATACATGATTATTCTTAAGTGCTACAGGTAAATTTTTATTATTACGATTTATATTAGAAATAATTTATTTTATACTATCAATATAAAAGTTGTTAAGGGCATTGGGGATCTCAATTATATCTTTTATTATTAGATTATCATTTATCTCTATTTCCGTTAAGCTATTTTGTTTATTTTTAGGCAAAAGGTCTTTCATAACTTTCCAAAGTTTAACAGAATTTTGTTTATTTTCACTTATTTGCTGTTCATAATATTTACTTTTTTCATTTCTAATAACTCTAACTGCTATGTTTCGATTTTGTTTGTATATTTGCCTATTTTCTTCAGTTGTGTTAGATACATACCTTTTATAACTATCATCCCTATTCCTGATAGCATTTCTGACTTTCTGATTCCACCATAATGGCTTGATAAGCCAGTGATCGCAGGATAGAATCTTGCTGGGGTGTGAATATTTTTTTTTTAATTTTTCTTTGGTTTGTTAGGAATTTATTCCATAAATCCATAAATCTATTTGTAATTTGTCAATTGCAAGAAACATACGATTGTATATAATTTTAAACCTTACCTTTAAAATGAGTGGTCCTTCGTCATGTCTAAGTTGTTCTTGTTTAGGGATCGTTCTTATATTCATGAATTCAAGACGTTGTTTGATTTCTGTAACTAACATATTCCATTCCCTTAAACCTTTCAAACTAACAAGGTTCATTTTGCACCATCGATTTTCAGCATAAAAGTTCTCAAATTTGTTATCCCTTTTACATCCTTGCCACACCTGCCAATAAGAAATTATTAAAATAAGACAATCCAAAGGAGATATTTCACAAGTTAATGCTTACCCGATATAAGTTAAGGCAAGCTATAAGGTCGCTGAAAGACCCATCTGCCCATAACAAAATTTTTCTGTAAGCATTGAATCTTTGTTGAAATGGAATGGAAAAGATGTTTTGAATAGAACACCCAGCAGCTAAAAGTTTTTATCCAAAAAAATTAAAAAAAAAATTATAAATATTTCGTCTTACCCATTATAACTGCTTCATCGAGACAACTAAATAGATATCCCAATACAATGAGTTTTGATAAATGAATATCAACTGGCAATGAAGCCATAACTGTACCCAAAAATGTTATATCGCCATCTGAAGCGGTATACTTCCCTCTACAAGTTTGTAATAAACCACCAAGCTGAAAATTTTACTTTAAAAAATATTCTACTATTTATTAGCAAAAATTACCTCTTTGAGATTAAGAATTGTCAATTTTATGTTATTAAGATTGGGCGGATTTATAGCCAATGCAAGTATTTGCTGAGGAGTGTCGTTTAAATTCAACATTTTTGATTGTAGAACCACCCTTTCCAATGGAGCTCTTAAAATCTCGGGAATACCTTTTGCTGTCATTTTTCGCTAAAAATTATAATTATACAAGCTATCAGACGCATACAGGGTTGGGATAAAGTATGGAACCAAACAGTAAATGGTGTACAGGTGTAAAAAGATAAATGTCACAAAAATTAATTTATGAGAAAAATAATTTTAAAAATCTGTAGACTTTATTATATGTAAAACGATTAAGAATTAAAATATTTTTTAAAGTATGAATGATTATTTATTTTCTGTATAACGACTATACCAATTGGATTGCTATTGTGCATTGGCGTAGGTAAAAATAATTTATGAGGGCTCTCACGTTGATATGTGTAAGATTGAGAGGAAAAAACCTGAAAAATTATCGAAGTTGGTAACTGTATTCTGTATTAATATGATGATTGTGATTAAAAATCAAACGTAAACAACATTTCGGCTATAAGGTAAGTTTGAAAAATGACTTGCATCTGGATTTTCGCAAAACTTTTTTAACATGGAGATTCCGGTACTATTTCATATTTGGTAACTCAAATTAACAAACGGGTACTTCAAGATTTTATTGCTTTTGTTTAGGTGGTATTACCACTATTATAAGATTCACGATACTGTATCATCTTGGCTTTTCTTCCAATATTGTGATATCTCTGCTCTAAAATACACTTTTTATAAAAGTATTTTGTATGGTGATCAGTCCAGGATCAAAATATATTGTTTTTTTGCAGTCTATTAAACTGACTTTGACCTGGTATTCCGTATATGTCCATTCCACTCTGCGGTAGCCTTCTGGTTAATTAGTCCCCTATTATATTCTAAGTAACTATGTACCTTAACTGTGAATGTCATTTTAATTTTCACGTCTGTTATGTACTAAACACATGATCGCCACCCATCGTCGGTGAACATTCATCTTTTTTCATCAACATGGCGGGACATTCATTTTTATTGCTCGTAACACGTTTATTCAAATTCGCTATAACTTGTGACGCTCATTGGATTTAGTTGGTTCCAAAACTCTGTCAGATTCCAAGGCATTTTAGGGATGCATATGCATAATATATAAATCTGAAAATCTCGATTTTTGGACATTCATCTTTTTACCCCTATACCCTTTAAATGCGAAGTGTAGGAGTAATACGGCGAGAATTTTGAACATTTGAAATGATTTTGCAATAATTTAATCATTTAAATTATTTCATTAATTTGTAATAATAAAATGAATGAGTTAGAATTTGGAAAAACAAGGTTAATTAAAATTTGCAGAAAATACAGGGTGTTCCAGTTAAATTAAAAAGTTAATCGTACTTTCGGTTAAATCGGAAGTACATAAAAAAAGAGGCATTAGATGCATCATGCGTCATTACGTCACCCTGCTAAGTTTCATCAATATCATCATCGTTTCGGCTATAAATATATATGCTTGATTCCATACTTTTTCTCAATCCTGTATACGAACAACATTCGGAAATATGACTTAAAATAACTAGAAATATTATAAAGTGGAAGTTTTGAATTTGATAGAAATAAATGCAAAAATTTTATTTAAAATTATCTCTTTTAAGGACGTGGTATCCATGGGCATAAAAAACGTTATCATAAATTGCCCTATAAAATCATTAGAAATTCAATATAGGATTTAAAAATTTACAAAAAAATATAGAGAGGCAGCTACTAGGTTTTATTTTAAATTTTTAAAAATATTAAATGATTCTTAAAACTGAACTTTGAGAGGAAAATCTTCAAATTGTAGTGCTTGAATACATTAAACGTAAAAGAGAAACAATACATTTTTTGCAACACTTTTCAAGGGAAAGCGTTCACTGAACAATACCTATGCAGCAGCTGCACTTTGAAGACACTCGCCATAAATAATTAACATATTCACAAAGCTCATTGTTGTCATAATTTAGCGTGCAGAACAAATTAAATTCACTAGGTACTTCAGATAAACCCAACATTGAAATCACAACTAAGTTACAATAAGGTAGATAATGTCAGTGTGATTCAAAGCCGAAAAAAAAAGTAAAGGAATATAAATACTTATTATTTAGCTAAATTTTAACAAACAATTCCAGTCCCAGATTTAATTTTTTTATTATTTTTATTTAATATTATTATTTTTCAGTTTCAGTTATTTGAAAAAGTTATTAAATTTAACGGCTTCTATACATAGTTAAAAAAAAGTATCAACGCAGGATTCACCCTGTATGGACTTGATGGAATGGAGACCAAACCACCCACAAATATTCAATTTCTGATCTAACATTGACTACATTTTAAAAGATGGATACCCACATATGCATAGTGTGTTTCTAAACCCTCACTGCAGAGACCTTTTGAGGTTCATCCTAAAAAACCGTACATTTTTGTAGCAAGATAGTGTGTATCATAAGTTACACTTAAATCTATAAATTCTACAGAATGTTTGTTTTATTTGGTAAAATTCCAGTAATCGATGAAAAATTTGATTTTATGTCCTGGTCAATTTCATCTTTTCTTCAGTTGCAAACCCGTTTGCAATCACTACCAATAAGTAATAGGTCGTAATTTACAATTGAATATTTTTGTAATTATTTTTACTAATTTTACCTCTAGCCAATTGATACTTACATCTCCTGGATGAAAATCTATTTGACATAACTTTGTCGAGAAATCCGATGGATACCCCGTCCTTAATATTATCCTAAGTGTGTAGAACTTACTTGGTAAAAATTTCTTGGAACCAGACGGTAGATTCTACCATTACCTATTCTACCAACTCGACCTGCTCTTTGATCACAATTAACATGAGAGGCCCATTCAAGTTTTAAGCTCATATATTTAGTCATTGGGTCTACCGTCATAATCTTCGTCATACAAAAATCTATGACTAAAATCCAAATAAGTTAATTTAAATCGTAGAAAAATATATTTTACTTACCATAATATGAATCTGGAACAGTGATGGAACTTTCAGCAATATTTGTGGATAAAATAACTTTTCTAGTTCCAACTCTAGCAGGAGCAAAAGCTTTAGCTAAGTCATCGTTAGGTAATGATGAATGTAAAGGAATAATATCCCATTTAATTGGTGTAGATTCTTTGTCCTTAGATACATCGATATAACGTTGCTGTAACAATTTACTTGCTTCTTCGATTTCATGAATACCAGGTAAAAATACTAAAACGCTACCAATTATAGGTTTCATTGTATTATGGTCTATGACATCTAACTTATCAATAATGGAAACTAAAAATGTGAAAATTTTCCAAAGCCCGTCAGATATTTCTGGTTTATCAATTTCAAAGTCAGGTAACTGAAAAAGTATTTAAAATGAGCAAATAAATTTTAAATCAGTTATTGAAAAACTTACAGAAGCACGAGTTGCGTCGAATGCAGTTTGAAGATTATCTAAATAATATGTAGTCTTCGTATAACTATTCTGTTTATTAACATAAATTATAGGTGCAGGAAGTGCTGCATTCATGTTATGTGAACGAAAATAATAAGCAAACTCTTCAGCTTCAATGGTAGCAGACATCAGAATAACCTACAATTATTTATCATATATAAACAGTAGGTGAAATGGCAGAGTTCCCTTATAGGCTACGATTTTTTTTTTATAAAAATATTCCACCAGTATTTTTAAATATTTTCATTAAATGTGTTTACTTCGTATAGTGCTCACGGCAGGATAATTGTTTTACATTTAAGAAAAATGCATTGATTTGTTATAGGGTAAAAATTTAGAACAATAAATTTTATTTTATACATTGTGGCACATTTAAAATTGAAGCACCCCTGTAGAACCCGTTATTTTACAGCCGATTGGAACCATTTTTTTTAGGATTGTAAAGGGTCAAAAATTCTACTATTTCACAATCAGGCATTCCAACGACCTGTCAAACAACCTTCCATCTTGGACGCTATTTTTATTCGAAATAGTAGTTGCTAACGACTGCCAATTTATGAAAAATGTATAAGGGTTTTTTTTAATAATATTCTCATTGTGTTCGACATAAAATATTTATATTTAATCCATTATTTATGATTTCACGTATTCTCGAAGATTGTAGTTAAAATAAATCGCAATTATTTATTGTAGTTAGAATAAATTGTATGCCACAACCTCTTAAATATACCATCCCTTCCCACTGACAGTTCTTTTTTTGGAATGCCTAATTGTTTAATAATTAGGCATTCTTCTAAACAAATGAATTGCCAGTGGGAAGGTTTGGTATATCTAAGGATTGCGACATACGATATATTCTATCTACTATACATAAAATCATAAATATTGGATTACATTTAAATATTTTATGTCAAACACAATAAAAATAATATATAAAAACCCACCTATACATTTCTTCATAAATTGGCAGGCTTAGCGACTACTATTTCGAATAAAAATAGCGTCCAAGGACTATGTCTCCCTTAGATATACAAGAATTTCCCACCGTCACCTATTGTTTGACAGGTCGTTGGAATGCATAATTCATCTGCATTTTCACGGCATGCTTCATTTTTCACTGTCAAAAACAGTAAAATTAAATAAGCAATTTTTTTTTTGTAAAAAAATCTAAGTACATCCTCGGATTCAAATAGTCTTAAAATGGCTCGATACTAAATTTCGCTAAAATATGTTTCATAAAAAAGTTCAAGGATTTTTTTTATTTACGCCAAAAAAAGCTCTCAAACCCACTAGATTCTTTATAAATGGTGTCATACATTAATCTGATAAATCAAGTAGGCAATGATTTAGACTATATGTCACATAAACTGTTTCTATTCAATAATTATAATTATTTAGGTGCGTTTAGTTTTTTAATTATAATCAGTGGAAAAGTAGTTACGTTTTAGTATTTCGGTAAGTTTTGATGTGAATTATTTAAGGAAATTATTGTTGAACTTAACATTTTGATTAAACAATATAATAACTAATGTGAATTATTTGCTACAGGTCGCCAACCACATCTTCATTAAGTTTATTGACGATTTGGAAACTTAATATGTATCTAATTTAAATAGAGAGGATATTGGTGATTTTAACACTGTCATACTTGAAGTAAAGGACAATGAGAGCAACAACTATTTGGTAATGCTGTCATGTGGTTTTTTCTCACACAATAGTTTTGTTCGCAGAGCCTGTCGGCGGCATGTCCACGACTGATGAGCATGCGGATTTCGATTTTAAGCGTTCGTAGAGCCGAAAATCGAACGCTTAAAACAGCTTAAAATCTAAATGCGCATGCTCATCTTTCGTGGACATGTCGCCGACAAGATCCGCGAATAACGTTATTAACACTCACACCAGGGGTACCCTAAATTATACGGGGTCTCCTACTATTTCATAGGGACAGTACTGCTATTTCTTAATTGGTAACAGATAGAAAGTTGGTTAAATTAGACAAAAGTTGCGCAGTTTTGTGCTCATTAAAATGGTGCCAAGAAACTTTTGATATATACAGAGAGATTCAAAATATCAGACAGAAAAGAATGAATTTAAAGAAATGATACTTTTCAGTAAAAAAAATAATTCCTAGTAGTTTCGTGCTTGATAATGTAAAAAAAATAACAAAACCATCACTCTTAATGTAGGATATGTTCGAAATGCTTGCCTCGAACATCTTGGCAGCATCCTAATCGTAAATAAAACGCCGTGCTCAAACTTTGTCTCCATGCAATTTGGCCATCTTACCTATCCACTATTGTTGCACAAACTACTATTTTGGCTTGTATAAATTTTTTATTCAATTTTTGTAGATCGTATGTTTTGAAAATAATACACAAAAATAGATACTCAGAAAATCTTATTATCGTAACAAAGTCAGTCTTTACAAAACTTATGGTTTGCATTAAAAAATTATGCACAAAAAAATGTAGTAGGTATTCTTGAATCAATCCCCTTATTATTTGTTATTGTTTTTGAAATTGTGATAGTTTTTGGAATGCTACGTCCTTATTTTTGAAATATTATTTGCATTTTCTAAAATAGTTCCGTGTCAACCATACATATTTCGATTTCAACAAAATAAAAAATAAAGATACATCAGAATTTGAATTAAAACTGGCATTGCTGTTTATGTGTTTCTTTCAGCGCTTTGACATGATCTTCGCCTAGCGAGCGAACTTAGAGAATAGTTTTGAGCAAGAGAATAGTGATTACTGAAAGGAGATTCGTGTAATGATATGTAACGAATCAGATCTCTAACAGGTGGTCTTAGTTTTCTGAGACAGTAATTTTCTGACCCTATATAAAAAAAAAAGATTCCAACAGGTCAAATACATGGGTGCTTTCATCTTAAATAATAAAACGTCTTTATTGTAACAAACAAAGATTACATGTTACATAGTGAGGACGAGATTTAGCATGAGCTAAGCTTAATGGATCACAGTGTATAAAACAATAACATTAACTTGCATGTTTAGATAACGATGAATGTCAAATATCAAATGCATGAGTAGACTTTCATTATGATTATCCTTTAATTAATAACTCAATAATAATTACTAACTATATACCGTAACTTTATCATTATTTCATTACTAACTTTCTCAATTTTATTTTTATTCCTATAAATGAACCAGTCATTTGGAAAACACCATAAAGCAGAAAAGTAAAATTTTGGGAAATTAAAAATAACTTTCTTAAATCGTCTGTGTGTGAGATAAAGCAGTGATATTTTTCTTCAAAAATTGCAAGATTGGTTTACTACTTGATGGTATCAAAAAAAGCTTGTGCTTTTTTTCTACAGGGTCCAAAATATTTTTTTCGAAAATCAGGACTAATGGGGTTTCTCAAATACACGGATATTATTTTAACTTATTTAGATAATAAAACTACATATTTTAATGACATAAAATGTTTATTTAACAATATTTTTATTTAATTTAAAATTTCATCTAAAACCTTATTTTTATCAACAGTCGGCCAGTTATAGTTATCTTTAAAAAATTCAAGATACTGCTTTAGTTTGACAAGATCATTCATCTTCTCTTTGTTAATAGGTATTTTTCCAACACAAGCCTTTTTGACAGGAAGATTCAAAGGTTGTGTAGATGTATTTCGAAATGTATCACAAGTGAGTCCATCTATAGAAGATTTTGTCACAAGAACTACTTCATTTTTAAAAAAATGTTTAAAATGCACATACTGACTTATTTTAAGTGATCTTTTTATCTTGTGATACTGCTTTTTGAATTATATTCAACATTGCGCTAAGCTTTTATTCTTAATTCTTTATTATTCCTGGAGATGTATGTGCAAGCCGCACTGCCTTTTACTCCTGGAGACGTCTCTGCTGCACTGCCTTGGCCGATAAGAACGGTATCCCGTCTAATAACTACGTCACAGGTGTCATTCACTTCTTGTCCACTTCTGGTTGTTCATCCATACCTGGCAATCGCCCTCATTGGTTTAAATACACCAGCGATAGCCACTTTCTTATTGGTCAATGTCAAGCTTCACTCTAAATATGACTAAACAACTACTCTCCCGGCAGAGCTTCAGTACCTCTCAAACACAAAACATCGTTCTGCGGTGCAAAAGATGGCTTGAGTGCTTAAGTAACAAATTTTCGAAGAAAAGTTTGTATATAGGTAAAAAATATGTAGTTTGTAATTAGAAAATGATGTTTTCACCCAAGCACTAATCCTTCCATCCCTACGGATCGCACAGGTATTTCCAACATAATTTAATACAGTTCACAATTTTTCAAGTTCCCTATGTCGGTCTGTTGTTTCGATCAATCTGCGACAGCTGATTGTATTAGCTTGTGTGCCTCGGGTATTAGAGAAACACCATTAGTCAGCGACTTATAGGGTTTCTCAAGTAAAGCAGATTTTGTCATTCGAAAATTTAATACAAGGAATGTTACGACTAATGGTATTTCTCGTTGGAATGTGCATCGAAGTGTTAGCAATAAGAATCTGCCATTTTTGGAATATGTCAAATTTGTTACTTATGGGCTTTTTCAAATGACCGATTCAAATGTCATGGTATTATTGTTCATGCAATAAATTATTAGGATGCAAAACAAAACGTAACTTTTATTAAATGTAGTACTCTGGAATGCCAGTATTTTTTTTTAAATTCGAGTCACTACCTACTTGAAAACAACACCTTATTATTTATACAAACGCAGATACATAATATGCATATTTTGGAGTAACCCAGCTTACTAAAGTAATCACATTTTTTACAATATTATTTCTCATCTCAAATTAAAACTGGTTAAAAAAACAGCCTATTACGAAAACAAAAATTATTTCCATTTATGTACTTACTTTTGTTCTTGGAGAATTAGTAAATAAAAATCTTCTAATAATCAATAACAAAAAATCTAATTCTTGATTCCTTTCGTGAATTTCGTCAACAATTATATGGGTAAACTGATGCAAAGATTTTGCTTTTATAATTTTTTGTAAAAGAATTCCTGTAGTCACATAAGTTAAAATCATATCAGGTGAGATTTTCTTCTCCAATCCAACCTGAAAGCATTACAAAACTCTTAGTTTGTACCTTCAATATGTCATTACTTTTAATAAGGCTAAAACCCACAGAACTAAAAATGAAATCGCAAAAACCAACAAAAGGAGAACTGTGATAATATAAATGACTCCCTAAAAACTAACATCGATCAAACCGATATTATGGAATAAAGAAGTAATGCCCCAAGAATGGAATAACAGTAATCCTTCCAATAAAATTAGAAGATACAAATCAGAATGAACTAATTACAAATGAATAGATGCGACAGATACTATATATAAAATAATATTAGTGCCCTAGTTAAAAACAAAATGTAATATGCAAAAAATGAACTTTGAGAATAACAATGTGAAATTCAGAAAAACTGACAGAAAACAGACCTAATATATTTATGAATAAGCAAATACGAATACGAAAATCCGTGTATAGTTTAAAACAGCGTATGATTCAGTACGTACACATTAGGAAAGAGTTGATACAAATATTATGAACAAAAATTCACAGGAAAGTTAATGAGATTAAAGGCATCACCCTTTGACGAACTATAAATGGAATTTTTGATACATATCTAAAAAAATACACATGAAAAACAATTTCTTGCTTCAGTTATATATAAAACATTTAAATATGTATTTAAAAATTAGAAACTAGCAACAAAATAGGTCTTGGGTTTAATAAAAAAAAAAAAAAACATTAAATCTACCTGGTAACCACAAACGGTACCCAAGGTCCATCCTCTTTCTTCACACACTCTTTTGGCAACATTAATTGTGGCTATTCTTCTAGGCTGTGTCACAACTATATTACAATACTCTGTTTTTTCTCGAGCATCATCTAAAATATACTGAGGTACTTGAGTAGTTTTACCACATCCTGTGGGGCCTTGAATAACTAAAACGTTATTGACTTCTGTGAGGTGAAGAATCTGAAAAATATATATAGTGAATACGATTTTTTTTTTAATTTAATTCAATGTAGTTTACCTTTTCACGAAAAGAATCAATTGGTAATTCTTTTTTAACAGGAGTTCTGTCAAAATGATACTGAGTATACACATTTAGAGGATTATTTTTGTAATGTATACCATCAACTCCTTCAACATCTGACATACTAGAGGGTTCCTAAAATAAACAAAATATTTTCTCATTTTTTTTATATATACCTATAATTGTATCTTTAATTTTTATTTTGAAATAGAAATAGCATTTTTATTCCTTATTTTAAGGTACTATTCAGCCACAGATTAAAAACATCTTGATGGTTACAAAAACTATACTGGTTTAAATAATCTCTCAATCTTTGACTTTATTGAACTACTTCTTGAGTTTGTGGATGATCACTAAAGGGACAAGAATCAGACTAGTGTTTAAGCATTAGGATGTGGTATAAATGGGTATGTAGTTCAAACCAAGGGCGGCTCCAGGCCGAATTTTCGGAAAAAGCAATTGCCATTTAGGACTATAAAATAGTTCTACAATCAAATTGAATGTGAGAAATCGTGAATCTGGCAGATGAATTTTTTGAATTAACTTTAAAAGAAAACACTGTAAATTTTAAAAAACTATAAAATCAAAGGTGTAACATATCATGGTGGTAACAGCAATACAGTCATATTTTGGAATGTTTTCAGAGGAAAAAAAATACATGATTAAAATAATGAACATTGCTAAGGCCAACTGAAGTATACATTCAAAAGTTTTTTCTTTATAAGCAAAATTGATATATGTCAAATTTTCTGACATACGACTTATGGTTATCACAGGAATTTTTCATATTATATTATTTACTAGCATTTATGTATTTTTTTTAACGTTTCAAACTTGTCTTTCCTTTGTATATAATTCAGTACCTGTTGCGGTATCAGCGGTTTTCCAAAGCAAAACGACATATGGCTTCATGATTTATTTTTTTTCCATTTTATTTTATTTCCAATTTACATTCCACCTGGGTTCTGACCTCTACACTATATATCGCGCCTCACTTAATCTATTTGGTTCCTGACAAAAACGAATCACTTTCCACCTATTCTACAAAGTGTGCATGTTATGCTTGTACCACTTATTTTGTTATATAGCCATATACATATTCGGAAATTGCCATATACAAATTCGGAAATTGAAACGAGGACCATTAAAAGCCAAATCAGCGTAAGTGTGAGTGAGCAGAAAGTCACATGTACTATGCGCGAGGCCACATAATAGATAATGCGCAGTCAGTGGTATTTGTTCATTTAATACTTATAGTCATATTATACCTTGTCCAATTCATTGTAAAATCTAAGGCTGAGTAGCACTGTACTCTTCTTTAATAAAAGTAGTCTACATTTGAAATATTTTTTAAATACTAGTAGTGTATTTGTTATCTTTATTTTCATATTAAAGTTGACATCTTTTACAAACAAATTTTTTATCAAAAGTTCTCAAAAATATATTTTTTTTTTCATTGATTCTCATTCAATTATAATTTTACCCACCTATATTTAAGATAGGATAAACAACAAAGGCAGAAATATTTTCTAGACGATTCGCTATAGCACAGAACATCCCTTACTTATCTACTTAAATGTTTCATTTTTGTGATTTTATTTGATATCCTTGCGTCAAAATTATGATTATTTTAAAAACATACATGATTATTATGTATTTTCTGTGTAGTAAAATAAAACTTGTATATGAACATGTTTAGGTAGCATATTTTCCATTTGAATAATATTAAAATAGCTCAGCAAATTGATAAGGGAGGCGACTCTTTTTAGCAGCTTGAAACTAGATAATGTGTTTCTGTGATATAAAATAAATGAAACTTGCAGATATTACAAAATTGCATAAGTATATATCATGTTTGTTACTAAATGACTAGGTATCAAGTGATTTTGGATTTGAGAAGATTCAATGTTAAAAAGACTGGGCCAACAGAAAAATTATAAATACCATATTTAATCAAAATTGTTTAACTGTTTACTTTTTGGTGACTTTGGAAGGTATTATTGCGAAACAAGTAATTATTTTACTAGGAAAAACATAGACAATGTTAATGAAGATCAATTCAATGATAACAAAAAGTTCCTGCTTATAAAGAGGTTAAACAGACTCTGAAAATAGCATACCAAACAGAAAACCATACTTTATTTCAGGTTAGTATGAAGAGGTAGATACATCTTTATAAAACTTTTCAATACACAAAAATGTTCCTGCTGATTGTGTAAAGTACAGACAAAAATGGAATGAAGTTGTATGGTTACTTCAAAGAAAAGAAAAATAATTTTATGAAAAAATGATTGATCAGTATTGTAATGACAGTTAAAAGATGTGGCGCACTTTAACAAAATGTAAATAGTAGTAAAAAGGGCATATTTTAATTCATTTGAAATTGGTTACTGCAGTACTCCCTTTAATGAAAAATTAAATATATTTTATTTAAATAGCACAGATTAAATTGCTCAAAGTATTCCCACCACTCAAAATTTCACTAAGGTCGCTATTAATTCTAATGGATTGGTAATTGACACATTTTCGATATCTTTAAATGAATTGCATAAAATAGTTACTAATTTGAAAACTAAAGCAACTGGAGTTGAGTTATTAACAGTAACATTATTAAAGGACCTTTTTCGGTAGTTTGATATCCTTTATTAAACATAATACTTGTTTACAAACAGGAGTAGTACCTTCAGAATTGAAGTGTAGTATCATTATACCAGTGTCAAATTATAAACCATCCAGTGAAACTTGAAGATATAAGGCCAATAAATCTACTCTCAGCTGTAGAAAAAATTATTGAAACAATAGTCTACGAACATCTTACAGAATATTTGAACAAAAACGATTTATTGTTTGTCAACCAATCTGGATTTAGGTGTAACTATGAAGACTAGTCTCCATAGGTGTAACCATTGTTACTTGCACAATATTAAAGTATTAATCAATATGTAATTTTATTACATTGACATATCTATATAATCAAAAATACATAGTGAATTTGTAATAACTAGTTGAGTATTAGCTGCTGTTATTAACATCCTCCAGGCCCAGCAGAATTCACAGCTTAATGACAGGTCTGGTTTAATGACTCAACTTAGTTTTGACTTGAGCCATTCCAAAGATAACATCTTTCCCTGTATATACTTTAGATAATCGTCCCAAAAGCCACTGGTTTCTAGGATGTTTCACGTCCACAATTAGTACAAGATCATCCAATTTAAGAAGTCTCATTTTTTCATGCCACTTATGACGTTGCATTAGAGTCGGTCTGTATTCTTTGACCCATCTGCACCAAAAAGAATTTGCTAAAATTTGCGCATTTCTCCATTGCAGAGCTTGTAACAAAAAAATCATCCTTGTCATTCTACAGAGCTTCTAAAAAAAAGTCCTCAGTTTATTATATTTTTGTACAAACCATGTCCCTTCCAAAGACATGTGCTGTGAAAACAGACATTTGCCATAAAAAAAGGCATTTGCCATAACAAAGGACATTTTAAGATTTAAAAAGTCACAAAGACATTTTGCTTCAAAAAATGACAGGTGGCAACCCTATTCAAGAGCCTAAAAATAACCTAAACATGCAGTGCTGATTTTGTTCCAAGGAAGCACCCTGAATTATTTATAAATAGCAATTTTTTAGAAAAGTTTATAATATATTAAGAGCCTAAAAATGAGGTGTGGTTGTTTCTATAAGAAAACTATAAAAAACAGAGGTCTCTGCTGGCTTCTTTCAAAGCTAGCGAAGTATCCTGTATTTTTTAAAAATAACAATTTTTTTTAATAAGTTATAAAAATATTGCATAGGTTTCAAGTCAAAATTGCCTAGGTGCTCTGCTGCCTTCTTTGACATCTTTTTAAGTTATCTGGGATATAATAATTACCTGAAACTTTATTTGAAGGTGAAAAGACCAACCCTTAGAGACTTTGAATTTTTTATTGAATATTCAACAATTTGTAATAGTATTGTCATAGTGTTGATTTTTAAAATTATTAACAATCAAGGTCTGCCTTACCTGAGGCCTTACCTAAGTAAATTTCTTGTCAAAAGATCAGACATGTCAGAGTATAATTTAAGAAATAATGAACATTGTAACATATTACATATTAAAAATTCATCTCATGACAAAACTTTCAAAATAGGCTAAGAAAAATGTATTTTTAAAATAAATTTTAATCTTAAATATTGTGTATTTATGTATACAGTGTGTTAACCGACGCAACAGACAAAATGAAGATGAGATACAGAAATAATCGAGGAAATGATAGTGCAACAGTAACAAAGGTAGTGTAAAATGCCAAATATGTACCTATAGTTCTTTTTTATTGGAAATTTAAAATAAACTTTTAAAAATCACTTTTTTAATATGGGCCAATTGTTTTCATTTTTTTTTTCCTAATATCTGCCAATTGTTTTTATTATAAACTGGCAGTAAAATCATTGTTATAAATTATTTTACACTAAGTTTTAACATTGCCCATTCTTTTAATAATTGTTTAATGTGTTTTTTGTAAATTGTCAGTTATAAATCTAATTTTATTGGTTAAAAAAAATATATATCAGGTACCTCTTTTGCAGCAATAGAGGCATATTTTTGCATTTCTTCACTAACATAGTTTTGTTCATAAGATTCACAAGCATCATCTTCTTCGTCTGTAGAGCTGAACTCTTCATCATTGAAATCAACTCCCATAACCCCATTTACTTGTCCGGTTGGAACAACTGGTTTTTTCTGGAGGTCTGATAATAATTTATTCATTTTGGTGATTTTGTGATGAACATGCGTTGAAGAAACAACTTAATAAATTTTAGAAAAATGTTCTTCCCGGTAAACTAACTTAGCGGCATAGAAATCACAGCGGTACCATCCAATTTACATTAAATTGTGTCCTGTCCTGTTCAACTGAACCCTTATACCCGATTGTCGATTCCAGATCTATTTTCTACAGACCATTCGCCATTCTAAAGATTCCACACATTTTAGATTAATAATGTTACATTATTATATAGTTTTGGTAATTTACTTCCTTTTGCAACTATGTAAGTCTGTACACTTTTTATTTTTCTATGTCTGTACAGGTAAATATACAACTCAACTCATGGAAGGGAAGGAAAGTCACAAAGTGGGAAAAAAATCACAAAAAATCTTGAATATTACCCCACTTTTACGTTTTAATAAAAACAAACAAAGACAAAACACCAGAAATCGATCGCCACAGAACACTCACTAAACGATCGCCCATGGTTGGCAACTTGGCAAGAGAAATTCGTATAAACTAAAGCCATGGGCGTATCTAAAGAAACTAAAAGGGAATGCCATTTTATTTTTATTTTCTTGAAAAAAAAAAAAAAATTGTTAACAGGACTTTGATAAGTGTAAATTGTAGAGGGGCTTATAATAAAAAAAAAATGCAACCTGGGCTGTTGAAGTAAAGTTTTAGGAGGTTAAAAAGGGGTGAAACATGGTATATTATCAAATTAAGTAGTAGTGAGTCACTAATTAATACGAGAAGTTTCTCCTCTTCTACAATGTTTCCATAACTCTTCGTCAAAACAGAAGGGCCATTAAGTATAATATCATTGTATTTCACCGTTGTGTTGAAATATTAATAATCAGATTTAAAGAAAAGTTGTTCCCATTGACATGTAAACTATGTTTACTTGATGAGCGCTGGAAAATTTAACTAGATCAACATTATCTGTTTGTTTTTCTACACCCGTATTATAATAATGCACTTATATGCCCATAATCCGTTTCATAATGATACCCATTATGATACAGATTTTTCATTATGATACAGATTTTTAATCAATAGAAACCTACAATTTTTCAATCAAGCATGATGTTTGACGTTTGTCCTAAATTCCTATGTAATTGTTTTAGTTGTCAAAACGTATTAAATTTTCGTAGATAGCTAAACTTCGATAATTATAATATTAAAATGTCTGATATCAGCGATATAGAACACTCCTCCACACATATAGGAGAAAGGAGAAAATGCAGTACAAAATATTTTGCCCCAAAAATCTGTGGTAATACCAGTACCCAAGGTAATACCATTAATTACAATTTTGTAGAATTTTTTATAGAAATACGAGTAATTACTGTTATTGTGTTCAATACCAATATAAATAGAATATTTATAGGTCTTGATTATTTATCGGGTGTAGAAAAAATAGCGTATGCAACTCTCATGTAATGGTTATTAAAACACTCGCATAAACCATACGAAACTCGCCTTTGGCTCGTTTCGTATCCCGGTTAATGCTCGTGTATTAATAACCATCATTACATGATCGTTGCATAATATACTATTTTGTTGTATTGTAGTTCAATAAGGATTTACAAAATGGATTCGGATGAAGACGAAAGACGAAATTTAAGATAATTATATAGACGTATAATTGAGTTTGGTTTACCAAGAAAAGCATAATGGGACAGCATTATTTTGTTGAAATGTTAAAAAATGGTGTTCTCTTTTACTTTCTAGAAACGCCCATGTGAAAGCCACGATGAAAGATGAAAGCATAGACAATTGCCGCGTTTGAGAATCCACATCCGATGCATCTGAGATGTAAAAAATCTTTGATCACGTGATTCAGTATACGTAAATTGCTGCGTTTGAGAATCCACATCGGATGCATCTGAGATGTAAAAAATCTTTGATCACGTGATTCAGTATACGTAAATGTAATGGGACAGATGTGTCCGATGTGGATAAAAAAACGCTCGAGATGTAAAAAATGCATCCGATGTGGATTCTCAAACGCAGCATAAGTAATGGGATAGATGTGTCCGATGTGGATAAAAAAACGCTCGAGATGTAAAAAATGCATCCGATGTGGATTCTCAAACGCAGCATATATTTTTGATGCATTTGACTTTTGACGCGTTAGTCAAACTTCAAATATACGTCAAACACATGGTCAAAGTTGTTGCCAACCTAGCGGTTCTGTTTTAAATTTAGTGGGTAAAAACCACTGAACTGTAACTATAGAGTTCAGTGGTAAAAACCAGTTCAGTGGTAAAAACCATAGATGTAAAAACCAGTGAGGTTGAAATGGTAAAAACTTTATTTAAGGCCGATTCCACCGTTGTGTCAAACGGAGATTAAAATGTCATTTTAATCTCCGTTTAACACAACGGTGGAATCGGCCCTGAATCACATATTAGTAATCTATGTTGTTAGGGGCCTATTCAGTAACTCTGAACGACGTCGTTAATAGACGATAATCGTTCACAGACGACTTTTCTTATTCAGTAGACAACGATTGTCGTTGAAAATAGACCAATATGGTTATAAAATTGTCGTTCATCAACGATAGCCACAGAGCTGTCGTTAATAATATGAAGTGTCGTTATAGGGATTTTTGCATTCCCTCTCATTTTTCATTGTGAATCAGGATGTGTTCTAAATAATAAAAGCACTTTTTTTACAAATTTTACAACTAAATTGCCGTCTACCTAATACAGCAAGTACAATTTGTAATGAATTTTTTTCTAATTAGTTAATTATTTTAAAAATAAATCTGATTCAAAGTTAGGATTGCCCATTCGACCATTTACTATTGGATTTTTATTAACAGTGCTGTTCTTAAAGTAGCACTGCGAAACAGTGTAACAAAACCTATATTATGGAAGTACCTATTATAATAATACTTCTCCGTAACCTACACAGAAAACGAGGCTAATGGCCTGAGTTGTCGAAGCCGATGACAACAGAAAAGATAATCAGGAAAAAGGATTGATAGTATCAAATTTGGTTTCTCTTTCAAATCCAATATATACAACTTGTACTGTTCTCGAGTTGTTTTTTTTGTATTTTTTTGGAATAGTTCTCAGTTTTTTTTAATATATCCCTACTCATTTAAATAAACCCTACATACAATACGACCAGCAAAAATGGCTCGAAAATGGCCCGCGAGAAACAGAATTCCTACGAATCGAAAATCGACACCGAGGGGGGCTATTTTCAAACTCGAGAGAATTCATTTCTCTCAAGAGAAATGTCATACGTCAACGTAAAACCGTATTTTTAGGGCTCTTAGGGCCAGTGTGAATTCACTGACTGTTTCTCTCGGTTTATTTAGAGAGAATTAAAATCTTCCTAAGAATTTTAATCCTCGATGCCTTTAAAAACAACATTTCCACATTGACGTATGACATTTCTGATGAGAATCTTGAGAGAAATGAGTGCTCCCATACTTTGAAAATAGCCCCCCTGATCGTGTTGTAGGTTAAGAACAATAATTAATATATTCTGAAAAACAAATGAATATATCTACTGGTAGAATTTTTATTTTACGTTCCAAAAAAATCTCAAATATACCGAGTGTTTAAATTAAAGGGTTACAGTTAAATACCTCCTTTTATAAAAAAAAAACAAAGTTTTATAGTTTTTTTGGGTGTTACTCAATAATGTTTCCTTTAGAAGTTCTTATTATTTTATGAAAAAATTGGGTTCCAATTAAAAAAAAAAAAAATCCACCTCGATATGGCCATATTATGGTCAGCTATAAAAAAATTAATTTAGCCAAAATGTTTCCCCTAAAAAACTATAAAACTTTTGTCTGATACTTTTTTTTATAAAATGAATATTTTCGGCGATATTTAACTGTAAAACTTTAATTTAAACACCCGGTACAATCATCAACATACGTTCTTTTATCACAAAACACTAAATTATAATACCAACTTACTAGAAATCATCGTTCAGATTTGGTAACTAGAAACAACGTAACGACTTTGTTATTGAATAGAGTTTCAAAAATTATCGTTATAAAAGTCGTTGGTTGAACTGTCGTTAGCTTAACGATGTCGTCCATAAACGATAAATTACTGAATAGGGCCCTTAATGTAAAAAATGTCATTTTACACTTCGTTTAACACAACGGTAGAATCGGTCCTAAGATCCCTGTACACTGTCGCTGTATTAAGTATAATTTCACTTTTAGCGGGGAGTAGTGCTTTTAGCGGATTTCTAGCGGTTTTTTATAAACCAATTCAGCGGGAATGCGAAGCAGAGTGTTGGCAACACTGTCAAACTGTCAAACACACTTCAAGACTCAAAACGTTCAAAACCAAAACAAAACACTGAAAACACCATTTTTCAACAATAATAAAGTTGACCTAATTTTTAAATAATTTTAATTTATAATGGAACAACAGCCAAATATCTATAGAAAAATGCTAGCCGCGGCAGTGTCAAGTATTTTGTTAGAATCTGGTTGTGATTTTACTGAAAAGGAATGTCTAGGAACTCTTACAGAAATGATGCAAGCATGTAAGTTTTAATATATTTTTAACAATCCCCTTTCTTTTAACTTTACTATATTTTTGCTCGGTCCATGTGTTAATTCATTAAAAATTGTTCTTTGATTTAAACTTTTCTTTTTCATTATGTTCTTCATCTTGTTATATTAATACCTGGATAACTCAATATGAAGATACCAGATCGCTGGCTGACTCTGAAAAGTATTCAAAACAAAATATCAAAGCCCAACTGTATAGGACTGGTCACGGTCTGGCTGAGTGACCAAACTCCTACTAGAACTCGGGGCTCATTTACATGGTGAAATGTATGCATATAATGTAGGAGTTGTAAGGAAGCGGTATTGTTAGTATCACAATCTCTTGCTTGTGCATGTGCTGTAGATTGGTATTTTTTATTTACCTACTTCATAACAATACTATTTTTAACTGGCCTCTGGCCGACCCATCAATGTACAACAAGTATACAAAGCAACGACTTCTCCTATGGTGGCCACCACCAGAAAATATCAATACATACCTGTCTAAGCCGACCAACATAGACTCGAACATTTTGTACACAGCTCAAATTGAAATGAAAGGTCTTCCATAACACATTATATTCTCGTATTATCATCTGCGCATGTGTGAGCAAATTTTTGTGTTACTTAGAATACCTCTTCCTGCAGTTGTGTGAATGGGAGGGAATAGGGCATCTAAATGGTGGCACAATAGGCCCATGAGGCTGCAGTGCTGCCATGCAAACCTCAGACCCAAGCCTGATTGGAGGGAGTCATTCTCGAACCCAAGGAGCAATGGGGGAGATTGCTGGAACCTAAGTTGTATTAGGGAAGCCTGCCAGAACCTCTCATGGGAGCAGAGGAATGCCTGAAAGGGTGAAAAAACCTTATATTTTTTTGAATGTGTACTCCTGATTTTTTACTTTGAATCTGGAATCTTTTTTTTTTCGTTTTATCTCCTTATTATTTTGTTTACCCCACTATACAATCCTAGATCTATTTACCAGGGACAATCTAGCTTGTCATGCTATTGCTAGTATTTTAATATATACACTTAGGAGAATGTATATATTGTATGTGCAGTTGTGTACTTATTTAAATGTTAAATCTGTATTCCTTTGGAGTTTTCATGGTAAAATATTGCAAAACTTCAATGATTTTTTTTAAACATTTTTTTCATTTTTCTTTAGAAAATATCCAAACTAAACTTTGGAAAAGTGGCTCTAACAAATACAGATTTATTGTTTACCTGCATGTCAATATTAAAAGTTAAATTATTGTTTTAGTTGTAACAGAAGTTGCCCATTTAAGCAAGACTTACTGTGAGCTATCTGGGCGTGTAGAGCCAATTTTAGGAGATGTAATTTTGAGTTTTGTAGAAATGGGTGAGTATTAATATTGATAATTTTTATTGTCACTCCCACCATCACCGATACGATGATGAAATATGGATCTCATATAAACGAAATTAAACTTCTTCTAATATGCTACCCAGGGTTAGAAAAAACATAACAATTAAAAAAATATAAGTAGGTTTTTTTTTTGGCTATTTAGGTCTTTTGAGGCTTTATAGGTTTTTTAAGGTTTTCAGTTCAAAAGTTATTATTAATAAAGTTAAACAAAAAATACAAGCAATATTTGAAAAATAGAGTTTTATTGTATTAAAAAAATCACATTCTGCAAACAAACAAAAAAGTGAAAAATAAATGTTTTATTTAATTGTCACTATTATTAATATCAATATCAAGAAGTGGTATAAGGTTTGATAAAATATTTGCATTTGAGGAGCTGGCAGGAAAAACGATGATGGTGCAAATTTTGCGAAAATCGAGGTATATGGCACAATCTATAGGTTTTTGTATGTACTATTATGTCTTGTAAATATTTGCGGAAATATTGAAAAGGGTCGCCATATATAGCTAAAAATATTTTTGTCAGTTGTGGGAAAAACGATGAGCGTACCTGGCTTTGACGGAATATAGCTGAACGTGACTTTGTATTGAAACCATGGCCATCTCTGTAGAAAAACCAACGCCGCATTAATACCTCTTCCATACTAAAATGAAAAAACAAGAATCTGTTTTTATGATAACCTGTCCTGTTTCAGTAATTTCCAAAAATGTATCAGAAACATTTTTTGTTACAGATTTAAATAAAAAAAACTTTCTGCCTATTCTTGTTGGTAACTACTGAACCATGAGACCGTAAATATTAAGTTCAGAATATATTTTTTACTTTTTCTATGAGATAGTGACCTACATTTAAAAATTCGAATTTCTTCAGTTAAAATTTTATGCACATTCATTTCTTTTTCCTTAAAATAAGTCTATATAAGAAGAATTAAAAGCAAAATATATTTTTTTGTACCATTACTCTTGTGGTAAATTACTTAAACATGATACTGCTCTGCTATAAGTACTAAGTTAAGATTATATTTACACCTTCCATGAGACAGTGCTCAAAAATTAAAAATGTAATTTTCTCAAAATCAAAGTTTGCACCTTCTACGTTCTTCCTGCCAGTTCCTCATTTGTTTTCATGTAGGTAATTTTCACTTTTAGGTTTTTTAAAAAACTTAAAAATCCTAGGTGCAAAAACCTTGATATAAAACAAAAAAATATATATTTTGACAAAATCCTTTAAGTTGACACCTAAAGTTACTTGCAAAGATATCTCAATAATGTAGAGTGACCATACGTACAGCTTCTTGCTGTATTATTTAGAATTTTCAAAGTCTGTCCAGCATTTGATCTTATACAGCAAAACGCCGTATTTGACCAGCGAAACGCTGTATTTGTCCAGCAAAACGCCATTATTGTCCAGCAAATGTAATACATAATTTACTGAAACATTACAAATAAGACTTGGGGAACTTAAAAAATGTCCTCTGGTCTCTTCTCTGTTTTTGTGTTTTTCTTTGGGTTGGGGGAGTTAAAAAAAAGTCCTCACCTCTCACTTCCAGAATTGGGTCAAAATAATGATGGTGACCCTACAATAATGAGCTTTGGGTAAAAAATTTTTTTATCAACAAGAAAACTTTTATTGAAAGGTTTGTTTAAATTTTCTGAGTTTGTTTTTGACTGAAATAATTAACTTGGTATAAATTTAAAGAGGCATACGTTTCCATATTCAATGTTGAATACAGTTTGAAAATATCCATAGTTTGGAACTTGTACTCCTTTTTTTCTTAATAACAATCATTGAATTCAAATTTATAATCTATTTCATATAAATGTATGTACCTGTTACTTATGGAATCAAAAAAATTCAATATTTGTAATGACATTTTCATTTTATTCAATGACTGATAATTTTATTGCAGGTTTTAACTTCAATTCATTGGAAAATTATGTTAAAACATCTAAACATGTAGTTCTACCACCACTACAACTACAACAACCACAAAAACAGTTAAACATGTTAGCAGCTGGTAGTAAGCAGCCATTATCTGTACATATTCCTCAGCATTTCCCACAATTTCCAGATCCACATGCATATGTTAGAACACCAGTAAGTATAATTGAAAACATTCCAAGCCTATTTTAAATATAACTAGAAGTGTAGATTTACATAATTCACTATAAATCTATTGTTTTAGACACATAAACAACCAATAATTGATTATGAATCTGTCAGAGAAAAAGCTGCAATACAAAAAAGGGACATTGAAAAGGCCTTAACAAAATTTTTATCAAAAACAAACAGTACTCACAACATATTTGATACAGATGAATCAAATATTTTCCCATGTAAGTTAAATGTATTAAATTATACCTACATAACACAAAAAAAACATGAATATCTCGATTGTATATGGTGAAATAATATTTGATTTTATTTTAGTAATTGCATGTAAACCAACTACCCCAGCTTATCTTTCTGCTCTTCTTCCCCAAGACCAAATTTTTGATGCAGAAGACTTGGATATTGATCCAAAGAGTCAAATTTTACAACAGCAGAAAAATCATGACAAAGCCAAGAACCATATAAAGACAGAAAATAAATCTGATGATGATAAAAGGGAAACTTTGAATGAATCTAGAACTAGCGAAGACAGTGCAAACAATTCAAATTATATTGATAATCCTTATTTAGCTGCAACCAAGCTTCCAGGTGGTGAAATAATGGAAATTTCCTAAAATATGATTATTGTATAATGGTCATATTTTTTTATTTTATAATTGTATAAGTTATAAGAAAAAATATATTTTAATCATTTTTGGCATTATTTTCTCCAAAAATAAATTAAAAATAATGAGAAGTATTCATAGAAAATGAAAATAAATCACTCCTTGAATTACTTGCAGTATTACGCCTTATCTTTCCACTGTTCTGTCTCAATCCCAATTTTTTGATCCTGAATGTAGATCCAGAGTCAATTTACAGCAGCAGAAAAAGCATGCAAAGTCAAGACTTTGAATAAATGAAGTAGAAAAGTAGTTTAAATAATTTAAATTCTATTTACAAATATTTAGCTCAAAAATGTTCCAGGATGTAAAGTAATAAATTATGTTTTTTTTTTGTGATATAGTTTTAGTGGAATAATTGTAAGTTATAAGAAAAATATATGATATAATATAAATAGTCTGAAGAAAGTTTTCATTCAAATCCCAGCTAGATAGTAACACTTTTGAGAATGTTTAAAAAAGTTAGCCTGGACGTTTATTTAATATTAATGTGTTAATATGTAACGTTTTTAAAACGTGAGAATGTCATAAAGATAGAACGTTAATCTTAACATTAGTTAAGAATTAAATTTATGGGTATCTGAACAGGAATCAAAAATAAAAAATTTTGACAAATATATTTTTATTAACAGAAAAATATACACTTGAGTTCTATTGTACACATATTTTGTAGTAATATACGGAGAAACCATATTTTTTTCTATAAAACTTATAAAATCAAAGTGTTGAATTTTTCTAGTTATATAAATTGCTCAAAGCGGGTCGTTTGCGAGCGGCCATATTGCTTGGCAAGTGCTCATTAATTTGAATCTGTTTAGCAAAGATGTGTTTTAAAACCAATTTCCAGCCTTTGTATATATTAAAAAAAAAATAATTATCTACATTTTTACTTCAATGCATAAGCTTATGTTTATTTTTAAAAACAAGGATTATCATTTCATATCATTGACCCTTTCAAATCATTAGGCCCACAGTGTTGCCATATCATTACCTATCCTGTATCTCAGTGGCCTGTCATTATCTACGGGCAACCATTTTGTTTGGAATGCTTAATAGAAAAGTATTATTACCCTGCAGTAGACTGCGACTGTTAAAGCCCTTGAACACTTCCATACTTACCTTTTTAATACAAGTTTTATTACAAGATATGTTCATAGTGCCTTGCAGTGGGTTCATTGGTGCTTCATTGGTGCTTCATTGGTGCTTCATTGGTTGCCTTAAAGGTGTACAGGCTTTTAATAATTTGCTTGAAAATATTAAATGCTCTTCAAACATATCAATATTTAAAAGAAAACTGCGTGAGTAAATGCTGACCATTTTTGATGTTTTTTATTATTATGTTTGGTAAAGTTGACATGTTATATCATTTTACATGTATGTTTACTATACTTATGAAAAAAAAACATTTTTGGGTGTCTATGTCATGCCAACATGTGTGGGCAGGGCCGCTGAGAGCCAGGTCGGGCCCCGGGACAATTCTCTACATCGGGCCCTAAACCTAAAAAAAAAAAAGTCCTCGAGTCGAAAAAAAATGAAATCGACCAATTACAGTTAATATTTTGGTCACCCAGCTACTATTATTTTTTTTTTAAATTTTAAATAAGTGACAATTCTGTCAAACTAATTGTCAGTATATTTTTTAGTTATTGAGATTAAAAATATGTACATTAAAATTAATTATTCTTTAATTGAATCGATAAATAATAGCATTTTTATTTCGTCTATATTTACAAACAAACCATACATTTTAATCAAAACTATATGAAATCAATTTAATTACGAGTATTAAAACTGAAATATTATGTGTGGCGATGGAGCAGTGGCTAGGTCATTTGGCTTTCATGCAGAGGTCCTGGGTTTAATTCTAGGATTGGAGATTAATTAAATTATTTTTTTTTAAATTTTATTATATAAATTAGTAAAAGTCAAAAATTAGTTTTAAATTGGTTATTTTTTCTTAATAACCTAAAATATTTTTTAAAATTTTTAGATATTCGTTAGTGTGTAGTAGAAAAAATATATTGTACAACTTGAGTGAATTGTCCGTTTCGCACTTCGTCTTCGAGCGATATTGTCATCATGTCCTCTCTTGTTGCATAAACTACTGTTTAATATTTTAAATAAGGTAAAAATTCTGTTGAACTAATTGATAGTCTATTTTTTAACTATAGAGATTAATAATAATACTCTCCCTAATTCACCCCCCTTACGAGTGAATTTAAACCCCTGAAGTCGACTGAACGACTTGTGTAAGGAAAGGGACGGCTATTATTATTTGCCGTGGCGCTCCGGGGCGACTTAAAGATGATTTATGGTGCTATTTGACTTACAGGTGAGGAAAACCTCACCCACCATCATCGAGACGGTAATGCATGGCGATTTTTATAATCTGCATGTTATATCAACAGAAATTGAATTTCTACCCAGACAACACACCAAATCCCAGAGATATCCACAGAATATCTTTTGTGGATATCCAATATATCCACAGGATATCAGAAATATCCCGTCAAAGAATACCTACCCAAGAAGCGAAACTGAATGAGTTTTCGTATGTACTAAAGCATGGGAACTTAATACACTGGGAAACGTATGAAAATTAATCAATTTTTGTCGTTTGGTTCATAAGAATTGAACACATACTAAAGTAACAATGACAAACAGAAAATTCTTACCGTGTTCTTTATGTAAAATAGATTATTTTTATAACAAAATAAGTATCATTATTGTATCTACAAATAATGAAAGTCACTACACAATAGCATAAGCAAATACCCTGGTCATTCTGCAAATATGGAATTTTGAGAACAATTGAATACACAAGTGGATAAATGTATCATGTCACATTATAAAAAAAAATATTTTTATGGCCTATTATACTTAAAATATACTATATTTTTTGTTTGTGATAGTTCTAATTTCCAATTTTGATAAATAACGGCTATTCATCAGATAGGAAGGTATCACCCAGCGAGCACATAACGTTGCCATGCCTTTCGGCGATGTTGTTTTAAGGGAACGTAATAACATTACTATACAACGTAAATGAAACTTTAATGAGAAGTAGTTGAGGGAAATCAAAACCTCGCGAAACACCTACCCAGATAGCACACGACGTCTGAAAGACGTCTTTTTTGTGTCTTGGTTTGGTCTCAATGTCCTAGGACGTTATTAAGACGTCTTATAAGACGTCTTGCAGAATCCATAATTCAGACGTATTATTGTGAGAGCTTAAAGACGTTCTTAAGACGTCTTGCCAAATCCATATATTAATCTGAAAGCTCAAAGACGTCTTTAAGACGTCTTACAAACGTCTTTCAGTCGGACGGAAACTTGCACGGTTTACATAATTAAAATTTAACAAGAAGAATCAAATGAAGTGAAGTTTGACGTTTGATTTAACAATAGGTCTTTTCCTTTGCATCGAAAGTGTAGCACTGAACTACGTTACTTCTGAAAATATTGTTCCATCCATACAATTTGTATAAATGGAACGATATTTTCAGAAGTGGTGTAGCTCGGTTCTACACTTTCGATGCAAAGGAAAAGACCTATTATATTCAAGCCGGCCGGACTTCCGATTCGGACACCATCGTGACAATATTGAAATGGCGTTCTCCGAATCGGGAGCCAAGAAATCCCATAAAAATCACAAAATATAAAAGTGACCATCCGAATTTAAAAAGTATACAAAATTAAACAAAATATTCAGTGTAATATTTGGAGAAGATAATTGAAATCAAATATCAAGTGCAGTGGAAAAGTGAAAAGATTGAGCCCATATAAAACGAAAAAAAGAAGAAATACATTCAAGCCCAAGCCAAAAATTTGTATGGCCCAAGCTCATTGTGGAATATTGATTATTTTTTTGCTTACACGATTATAGCCACCAAAAGCGACTTTAGGCTATTTTGAGCATTTGTGTCTCTTTCTACTTAAATAATATGGAACAAAAACCAGAGAGGGAAGAATAGTTTGTGTTACCGATGTAGCACGTTCCTGGAATACAGGTAATAAATGAATATTTGTTTATATACATAGAACATTAATATCCTGTTTCTTCTAAGAATAATTAAATTAATTTAAAAGTAAACATCTTAATATAAGATTTAATTCAGATATTGGTCAAGTATCATTTTTGTTTGTTTTTATGGAGATTTTGAGAACTAATAATATCAAAAACTCCCTATTAGATAGCCATTTTGAGTGAAGTTAAAGTAAAATTGTTAAAGTAGGCGATTAAGCATAATAGCTCATATTGCATTAAATGATTATAAAAATTCTTTGATTTAAAATTCTAAGAAATTAATTTTTTGTTTTGTTTTAACCATTCCAAATTTTTTCGTAAACAGTTTATTAAAGTTCGTCAAAATGATCTAATTTTCATGAACCCAATGACAATTGACATTGGTAGTGTGACGTGTGTCTAAAAGAAATACAATGTTGCCATATCAATTATTACATAGCAATGGTCATTTTTACCTATGCCCTGTGTTGTACCAGGTCAACCAATTGACTTCAGTATCAGAAAAATTATATAACACTAACGATTTAAAAATTATCCATATCAAGATTTTTCTCAGGTTTTCCTCACCTGTAAGTCAAATGGCACCATCAATCATCTTTAAGTCGCCCCGGAGCGCCACGGCAAATAATAATAATAGCCGTCCCTTCTCCTACACAAGTCAATCAGTCGACTTCAGGGGTTGAAATTCATTCGTAAGGGGGTGAATTAGGGAGAGTATGATTATTATTATTATTAATAAGAAGACGAAGCAACGACTTCTTGTAGCGAAGCCGCCACCAGAAAATTTTAACCCATACCTGGCTACGCCGACCGGCATAGACTCCAACGGCCTGAACACAGCTCAAATTGAAAAAAAAAGTATTTTTTACAAATATTAGATAAGTAACGACATGCCGTAATTAACGCACAATCATCATGAAATGAAATAAAAAGACGGATATCAGTGATTACTACAAATGTTTTCACTTCGGGATCCAAATTCACCTGCTGGTTAGACACTATGTAATTTTTCGGCTACGGTGTATGGTCGAGCCATTTCCAAACAGCCAACTTTCATTATTCGAACTATATTTCCTGGCGTATGTTTTCTTACTCGATTTGGCAACACCGCATTTATAGAAACTAGAAACGTCAATTATATCATTGAAAATAATTTACTATTTGTTTTTCTAACAAACTAAAAATGAAAAATAATTTTTTTTATCGTTTATGAAAAAAATTGGCATGGTTTATTCCTCTATGAATGGTTTAATATTGATATTTAGCCGTTTCTACAACAAGAAATCAGTGAAAATGGTTTATTTCACATTTGTTTTATAATGGAGACCAGACAAACAAATTTTAAGGATTTTAAGGTAAACATTTTTTTTTTTTTTAGTATCAGCGGACCCAAAATTGTTATGTCGTATAGTGTGTTTCAAAGTGTCTAGAAACTTTCTATAAAATTTCAATAGTTATATCCGCCGTTCGAGTGTCGGCATATAATAGCTAAAAATTTTAAAACTATTTAATTTTTAATTACTACTTATTTAAATACAACTACTTAACTATACTACATTTTTCACAAAACGCTAATAATAATATACCAAACGTTGCTCTTCATAAATTGACAGCTATATTTGACATTAAACCACCTCTAAAACACTGAGGAAACTTGGCAGTTTTTTGTCCACGAATCGACCATTTAGTTTCGCTACTTGGACAGGTATTCTTTGATCCCGTGGATCTAATATGGGTATCCAAATGTCCGTCTATATCCAGAATATAGAAGATATCCTATGGATATCCAGCAAAATATCTAATGAGTATCTCCCAGACAATACAAGAAATCCCAGAGATATCCACAGAATATATTTTGTGGATATCCAGTGGATCTAATATGGATATCCAAATGTCCGCCTATACCCCAGAATATAGAAGATATTTCTATGGATATTCAGCAAAATATTTTATGGGTATCTTTAGTAGAGGTTCATAAGTAACCAATGATTATTGAATAACGTCGAAAGAAAATAGCAGAGATAGAAAATATTTTCAACACTCTGCCTTTGATTTTGCCCACTAAGGAGAAAGTCATCCTTATTAGGACTCTTCAGCAGTAAATAGAAATTCTCGACTCCAGTCTCTAATGGAGTCTGATTGCAATATCAATTTCGATCGAACTCAATTACGGCGGGTTGAGCATAAGTAGATATTCAACGAGCGAAAGTGGTATCGCCATCTATACTTAGTAAGCAAAATCAAAGGTCGCTGTAGTACCTAGTTCAGAGACTAGGTGGAATAAAAGCCAGGCGGGCTATTCTTAAAAAAGGAAATAATTCAAGTCCTAATAAGGAAGAAAACGGTCCAAGAATGACTTTTTTCTTAGTGGGCAAAATCAAAAATTACATCTAGTGGATATACACCATGGTTTGCGTTCGCGCCTAGACTTTGATATATTTAGTGGATGTCCATGGGATATTGAATACACCTTAAAAAAATAATTTTAAATATCTGAACGGTACTAATAGCAATGGCGTAACTTTTTAATAATTTGCTATATAATTACTGTTATTTATGGACATTTGCATGTCTATAAATTAGATCTCATGGATATAAAATAGATATACACCATGGACTGGACATGTAGTGGATATTGGGATGTCCAGTAGATATCCAAAGGATTTGGTATGCTGTCTGGGTATTAATACGACACAAATCAAATCCTATAACGAACCATGCAATTTAATTAAAAATCCACATGGTCTGGTGTAGGATTCGAGGCCCCCCTGTCTCTGACCACAAACTTGCCTATAAATGATTATAAGCGCGTGAGATCGCTACACCACCGACCCGATAAATATAATAATTAAAAATAAGTGATTCTTGTGAAGAATCGATAAATAATAGCATTTCAGAAGATATCTGTCTATATTTACAAATAATACGTAAATTTTAATAAAACTATCTAAACCCAATTTTAAATTATGTCTATAAAATAAGAAAAATTAGTTGGCTCGTTAATGCAGAGGTAGAAGACTTCGAGTTTATTTTATTTTATAAATTAGTAAGGCCGATTCCACCGTTGTGTTAAACGGAGATTAAAATGACATTGTTAATGTAGAAATGTATTTTAAACTTCGTTTAACATAACGGTGGAATCGGTCCTAAAAGTCCTAAATCATTTTTAAATAATTTATTTTATCTTATTACCCTTTAAATTAATTTTTCGTCAGTGAGTCGTAGAAATAATAGAATGTACAACTACGGCGTCGTGTTCAAATTTTTTCTCCGTGTGATATGGCCATCATATCCACTCTTGTTACACAAATTACTATTTTTTATGTTTTCAAGTTGACTAGAGCTCGATTTTTTTGTGAAGAACACATTTCGTCATAGCTATGCCACACTCAAAATAGCTAAATAAATGCAACAAGTAAAAATAAGTAACACTATGCTACTGAATTCAACTTGTATGAGCGGTGATGAGCGACAGGTGGCTTCGATCACGTTTAAATCTGTCTGACCACGCCTACAAACTCAAATTGGTTTCTGCATATTATGACGAAGTGTGCTCTTCACAAAAAAATCGAGCTCTACTATTATTTAGATAGTCAACATAATTTTAGAATTTATTTAAATAAAAACAACATTTAACAATTTTTTATTTATTAAAAAATAAAAACATGTTTACCATATTAGGTAGTTCACACTGTATAATAAAAGTTTTTTTTAATAGAATTTTGAACTTATATAAATATTTCTTATTTATTTATATTTCTCTATATTTAAGTATTTACATTTATAAAATGCTTCATTTAAATTAAAATAACAAAATATATTAAAAATGGTATGTATTGAGAAGGTGACTCGACTTAGGGCAGTAATTGCCTAGGTTTCATGGCATCTGTTGAGTCAAGGATATATTAATAATTATGCTAAAAATTCAACATGCTGTCAGCCTGGTTGTCTAAACCTAAGAGCAGAATGGGTAGTTGGGACATGCGTGTGCATCTACTCCAGCGGGAATTTGACCTACTCCATGTGCGTATTGGGCATTTGGAGGTGGTCCTTGGTTCCAGTTTTGAGGAGCTGGGTTGTTGTTAGAGTTTTGCCAACTGTTTATAATATTCTGATTTTCTGTGAAGTAGAAAAAAGTTTTAATTTATTATACTATTTATTATTATACTTAAAGTATATGAAATATACAAAAAAATACAAAAATGTTCAAAATTTAAAATCTCATAAATAATGATACTCCTAGTCATAAAAAGCTTGTGCTTAAAAAAATTTAAAAACTTACCATAACCTGGGGCAAGAGCTTCTGCAAGACCTTCACCGTGGTAGTCACCATCACCAATGTATTCTCCCTTGTTAAGTCTGCTTTGGGCATCATTTCCCCATTGTTGTGGAACAGCTTGTGCCTAAAAATGATTTAATTTATAAAATACGCAGTGAAATAAATGACACAATTTATTATTATTTTCTGGCGTAGCTAGAAAAACGTTTAAGTTGTAGAGAAGCTAGTGTTAATGGATGTTCTCTTCTTCCTGGATTAAATATGTGGAAACGTAAAAACAGATTTCTCTAGGTAATTTTTTAATAAGAACTATTTATTATCAAAAACTGTTACTCATCATGGGTGATTAAATTTGTTGCATCATTTAAAGCATGACTGAATACATGCGGCATGTTCCCAAATCTCTAATTTACTTTTGTTCAGCAACTCTTGCTTTAAAATATTTTTTCTACGTTCATGCAAATAACAAAACTTTATTGAACTATATTTAGTGAAAAAACTGGTTCTTTATTGCACTAGTGCAATAAAATTTTTATTGCACTCATCTGTCATTTTACTACAGCGTTTTATGATCATGATGAACATAAATATTTAAATCGACGCAAAATATTTAGTCCATTTTCATTTTCTGTGACATTGTATTACGTTTTAAAAACAATTGCATATTTTATATTATTTTCAATCATTTAATAAATTAATAAAAAATGTATTTTCTTAATATAGTTATAGTACTTTTTCAATGTTAGTCGATGCTAATTATTAGTTATTAAATATGTTGCTATTAAATTACGCTTTTTATTCTTTTGCACTTAGTGTCGCCTAAATAAAACATTTTTTGGTTTTTGCATGAACGTAGAAAAAATATTGTATGCAACTCTTGCAAAAAGTGTTTATTGCACTCGACGTGTTGTCACGTCGCGTCGCGTGCCATAAACACTTACTTTTTGCACTTGTTACATAAATAACTATTATTTGACTTCTAAAATCGTGCGGTAGTTGCTAAAAAAAGTAGGCCAATCCGTTGACCATAGATTCCTTAGGCCAGTGCAAGAAGCCTCTATTATTATTTTTGTCGATTGGGGCAAAAATTTAAAGGGGGTTTAAAGGTTATACACCCCTTGCAATTAGCGCCCTCTATGAGATAGGTGATATTTAGGCTCAAATTATGATTTGTTATCCCAAAAATCCCCGCTGTACCAATTTTAAGCCTTCTACTGAATTAAATGACGAAAATATAATGAAAAACGTATTTTTCTATAATTAACTTTGTCACCTTGTGTATTGAACTTTTTTGGGACACCCTGTAGATACCTAATTTTTTAATTGAATTTGGTTCCTACCTGATTCCACTGATTGGGTTGAGCGTTCCATTGGTTAGGTTGAGCGTTCCATTGGTTTGGTTGGGCGTTCCATTGTGGTTGTGCACCCCATTGGTGAGCAGCTGGTTGTTGTGGGTTAGCAGCTACAGCAGGGTTGTTGCAGTTAGGAAAATTTGGACAAGCTTGTGGACTAACTCCGGCTGGGTAAAGATGTGCTGGCTGACCCCCTGCTAGAGGACCATTCCAGACAGCCTGACTTACGGCTACAGAACAAGCTAAAACGACCTGCAAGCAAAAATATAACGTACAAAATGTACCTAAAGAAAAAAATGCGTTTAACTGATTTAAGACGCATGGGACATACAATGAACTTTTAATATTCTTGCATGCTAAGTAAAGACGTATTTTCACAAATATATTAACTTTTCATATTAAGAATAAGCGTATGTCTAATATTTTTACCTATTTTTAAAAAATTACTTAAAAACTCGAGCCCCTATCATAATGATGTAATTGTGCCCGCAAATGAGCGAAAACATGTTTTTTATTTTGTAAAATTTATAATTTTTATTTTAAATCGAAATATATTATTAAAAAATGATTTGTAAATTTATTAAATTAATTAGGTATTCTTTTTTAATTAAAAATACCTTATAGATAATTTGCGTTATTTCGAAAAACAATATATAAACCTTGACAAAGATATGCTAGATTGATCATTTTTTTCACATCAAATTTAAAAAATATTTTTATTTTTTCGTACAGTCGCCTTCGAAGATTTTTTCCTTTTTTATTCTTGTCTTGTTGATAAAAAGTTAAAATGCAAATAATATTCGTATGTAAAGTAGATACTAATTTGAATAATTATTTATAATTATGTATAACGGAATAGCAACGTGCCGAGTAAAAAATTATTCTGTTATAATTATTGATTTTTTTAACTTTGTTTTAAAAGGGTTTAGCTAAAAAGTCACATAACGGCTTTGCACCTAAATATTAACTATTAAAAAATCAAAATTGAAATAAATCCGACGCAATTATCAAAACATAACGCTGAATATTCGCGACGCCTATTAAAAAAAAATACACAAATGAAAGGCGCGTTTTTAAATTTCGTCCAGTTGCCGAGAAATTCAATCGAAGATATTCCTGAGTATCCCATTTAAAGTCCATTGTAGCACGCACTTTTTAAAATCACTGAAAATTATCACAAACACTTTGAATGTCCTTTATCACTACTTACCAGTTTTACAAACATGTTGCAATTTAACAGAAAAATTATGTGAAGGAATTATAACCTGTTCGATCTATTTATACAAAGACACCACACCCTTCTACCAGATATGTAACAGTAACGATATTTTTAATACCGATCCCACACATTGTAGAAGAGAATATAGATCATTCGATAGAGGGTTATTCCATTAACAGCCATACTTTCAGTTTCCTTGGAAATATAAATTAAAATAGGACCGATCCTAGGTCTATATTTGAATAAGAATTTTGCTTTTAGATACCGTAACAATTCCTGACATACTTGTCAAGGAAGCATCCTAAAAATTGTATATTTCTGGTTATTTTATCATTGAAAATATTAGAAATTAGCATCTGTTTTCTCAAGAATCGTTCGCAAGGTACACATTGACCTGCCTCGTGACTTAACAAAAGTAATAGATTAAAAATGTTATATTAGTTTATTCTCTATTGTTGGAAATCGAATAAAAATATTAAACAATTAAAGCTCTTTTTAGGTGTGTACCTTCAATGATCCTTTGTAAAATAATTATTACAAATAAAATTATAACAATTTATGACTTCAATAAGAACAAAAGAGATCCGTTAATATTTTCAGGAACGATACAGTTCGATGTGACCAATCAATAAATAATTTAATTTCATAATAGAAACCATTTAAAATTTGTACCGCGCAATTTGTCGAAAGGTACAATTGAACTTTCTCATACCATTTAATTTAAATAAACAAATAAAACGTCTTTAGTATTATTGGTTTTTATTATTTTAGCACTGCATACGTTTCGGAATTTCTGTTTTGTTAAAATAAAAAAAAAACATTCATGGACGAAACCCATCTTTTTGTTTCTGATAGTATAACTATTTCGAATACATACACCTACACTCTAACAGAAACAAAAAGATGGGTTTCGTCCATGAACACTTTTAAACAGTTTGTATATGTCCCTAAATGTTTTTTAATAATTCTTAACAAGACTATGACTGCACCAGAAGATCGGATTTAAATTCCCAAACATAAATAATAAAATTTGACCGATAATACCAAAGATGTTTTATTTGTTTATAAAAATTCTACTACGGTCAGGAAATCGTACTATTTAATTTAAATATTTTGTTTAAATTTGACTACAAATTTGCTATATAATTTGAAAACAGAATTAGGCAAAAATCAAAGTGAAATATCGCAGACATCCTTTCATGAAATTCATGTGACAACTTTCCCACTCGTCTAATTTACAAATAATAGTACAATATTCAATAAGCGTATAATGATAGTTATTACCGATGAAGATGAAATGCAGCACGAGCCACAAGGATGAAAAAAAATGTATAACTATTCGGAGGTTTCATTTTAATTGCAATTGACAGAACGATTATACCTACCCAATAAACTATCATTTTTTTATAATTTCTAAATACATCACTCCTCAATAGTAATGATTGGAAATGTGTGTCGAAAATAGTTTATGTAATTAAGATATCACTATTCAATGTTTGCAGTTATAAATTCGAGAGAAGCTAAAATGGTGGTTCCCACCTTATCGAGACTGAGGCCCACAAGGGTAAACTTGTAGCGTAACAAAAACGAGAAATGATTTAACTTGGAACGAAAGACCGAAAGCTGATAGTAGTATTAGGACGTTGAATTTTTTGTTTTGTGAAGTATTGGTATTTTTTAGTTTAAACCATGTCATGACTTTCACAAGCCTTGATTTTTAAAACCATTCTATATCGCCTTTTGATTAGGGTTTAAAAACTTGTTCGAGCAATTTATCCAATAATAATTGGCCCCTTTACCTCTTAAGCCTGCTTATGTAAAATATTTGGGCTCCTTACTTCGCCTATTTATATTCTGTTAATAAAGGACAGAAGGATGAGTATTGCAACTATGTTAAAAGAAATAAATTGGTTTTCAGTTCAGAATTATGTTCAGTACATGACTGATATTTATTTATAAAATAAAAATGACATAAATCCATCGCATCAGATCTATTAGAAAAAATTCAATATAATTCACAATATCACAACTATAATACAAGAAGCCAATCTGACTTTCATGTACGGCAAGCCATCACTAAAAGTTCCCAAAATACAATTTTTATTAAAGGTTTAAAAAATTTAATAGACTGCCTACAGAAATTAAAAAAAAACACCATAAATGTATTCAAAAGTAATCTCAAACAATACTTGATAAATAAACAGAATGCATATACTTTCTTGTGATAATACTCTTTAAACCTGCCCTTTTTAAATATTTCACTTAATTTATTGTTATTTTATCCCTCGTTTTATCTCGTTTTACTACTTACTATGTTTAAATTATTAATAATTTTGCGACGATAGGTTATATCAACTTATAGCCACAAAACTATTTTTGTGTTAAAGTAGATCCATAGAGAGCAATGTAATTTACAAAGGCCTTCTTTCAACATACAAATAAATGACAACTTTATAATTAAAATGAAAAATACAACAAAATACCTCGGTATCATAATTGATCAAAATTTGAAATGGGTTGATCACATTACGTCATTAAAATCCCAAGGTAAGAAGATTCATTTTTAAATTTTATGAATTGAGGAAACTTGTAACTAGGAGTTTACTAATTATTATTTACAATTCGCTGGTTGAATATGTGATCCAAAACTGCATAATTAAAATTATCTACAAAAAAGCAGCATTATATTCTAACTCTCTTTTATATAATAAAAAAGTGCTTTGTATAAGAACATTATATTATTTGTCTTGAGATACACTACAAATTATTTGCAATAAATATCAAAAGAAGCATACATTTTTAAATAATTTGACATTTAAGAGCCATTCACACATCACAGTTGACATCGTGATACTTGACAGGCACAGCCAAGCATTATTCTGCTTTTTGCGAAATAAAATAACAGGTTAATTATTCTATGGGGTTCCCAGAGAGCCAGTAAATTTGATGAAGGTGTTTTTGTGGCTAGGGGCGAAATAGTAGTACGCTTAAGTTAGTACCACCATAAAAAAGTCATTTTTAAGAAACTGCTTATACATTTTTCATAAATTGGTTAGACGACTAATTTCGAATAAAAATAGCCTTCAAAATGGCTATGGTTGCAAGTATGAAGGTCGCAACCCGAAATTTCACCTTTACTATCAACAGCTGTTCTTTGACAGGTCGTTAGAGAATGTTTGCAATTTATGGAATGTTGAGAATGTTAGGAATGTTGACGTTAGAAATAATTGGAATTCCTAAAATTGTTACATAAGAATTGCATAGGTGGATTTAAAGAAAATTGATATTAAAGTAGTTAGGATGAAACGAAAATTCTGAAAATCAATAGGGTTCTGAGTTAGAAGTAATTATTCAAGAAAATCAAAACCGTAAGTCAATCAGAACTTTCGTTCTAGAGTTATTGTGCCGGCATACATACACACGGACGACCAGATGAATTTTTTTTTGCATTTTCGTAATCAGAATGATCGGAAACATGAAAAAAGTTTAAAAAAATGGGGATAAGAAAATTTATTCGTCTGTACGAATGCAATACTGAGGCCCCATAGGAAGGGCCTCAGTAATACCTATTTATAATGCTTATGGTGATAACAGTACCCCTTTTAATTTTTGGACGAGGATATCTTAAAAACTAATTTATTTAATAAATTAAAATTTTGACAAAATAAATTAGGCAATATTTTCTAGAATATGCATATATTTTAAAGTTTTAATTCCTTCCAATTACCGAGAAAAGAAATTAAAGGACTTTAAATTTTGAAATATCATAATGAAAATAAATGCATTCCTCAACCGCACTATTATTAATATACTTAATCCCCAAATTTAAGCTCTTAATGTCTTGTTAATGATTTTTTAAAATTCGCCAAAATTATTGGCTAAAACGCCTCGTTAAGTGCTATCTTCTGGTGTAAACTGGTGTAAATCGTTGCAAGAAACGAATGATCACTGAGGGTGTACGATACGATAGTTACAGGTGGGTTACATCAGAAGGCAGCACTTAATGAGGCGTTTTAGCCACTAATTTTTGCGAATTTTAAAAAAAATCATTAACAAGACATTAAGAGCTCAAATTTTGAGATTATATTAAGAATAGTGATGTTGAGGAATGCATTTATTTTCATTATATTACACTAATGGAAAAAATTAAGGGGCCGATTTTTTGCGATTTTTCGTGTGGCTGTATCTTTGGTAAAAATGGTCGTACGTGAATGAAAAAAAAAAAAGTAATTTGAAGCTTGAAGTGTCTAGTTTATAGATCTTGCAATAAAAAAATTTCCAACCAACAATTAGCACAAAATCCTGATGAATATCATGGAAAGAAAATGTTTGAATTTTTTTTTTAATTTTTAGTGTACGGATTTAAAAAAAAATTTCTCGACATAACCGCTATATGTATTGGATAGGTGGTTGAGTTAGCTTCAATTCTTTTTTTTTTAAGGCCTCGAGATGACCCTTTTTTGCTGAGTTATCAAAAAATCAACGAAAATGCGTCATTTCCTCTTCTCTCGTCAATATCTCAGGAACCAATGGCCGCACAGAAAATGGAAGGGGAGTTTCGGAAACTTCGATTCATACTCTACAAGTTTCTGGCATGTTCTTTTACGAGAAAATTTTTTTTCATCCCTAGCATGACTTTGAAGAATTTCGGAAAACAGGTCTTTTTGAGGTTTTTTAGAAAATCACGTGCCACATTAAAAATATTGGAAAAACGAGTAATTTTGAGTGTGCATCTTACAGGCCATTGTTCCCCCGAAAGCCCTACAAATTCATCAAGCCGTTTCATTGTTTCATGCGAGTGAATTTTTGAAGAAATTGAAGGATCGCGTTTTTCTATCCATGATATTCATCAGAATTTTGTGCTAATTGTTGGTTGGATTTTTTTTTATCACAAGATCCATAAACTAGACACTTTAAGCTTCAAACTTCTTTTTTCTTCATTCAAGTACGACCCTTTTTATCAAAGATACAGCCACTCGAAAAATCGCAAAAATCGAGATTTTTTTGATCCCTTAATTTTTT